GTTCCCATTTGCACCAGTTTGATGATCTCTCGTCTATTCACATTTTAGCTGTACTCCTACGCCTTTGACGTCTTTCATGAGGCTGGAGTACCAGACCCAGACACAATTCACAGCTATTGGTACTGGAGCAACAGAACTAATCACCGTACTGTTATCTGTAAGTTTATTGTGGAAAGCAGCTTGAACTGGACTAAATCTATCTAGCACAAAAAGTAAAGAAGCTTGTTTGGTAGATCATGTCTTTGTTGTAACAATGCTTCTTGGCAATAAATCTTATAACGTTGGATAGCCTGTTGGTTTCCCTTTTAAACTGTGCCACATTTGTAAGGAACATGCATTTGTGGGATGATGGAAGAGTTGAGTATGTGGGTTGCACACAAGAAAAAATCGCCAAATCTTCTCTGCTAAATAACTTAATTTGCAGTTGACTCTTGTTTTGAGCTTCTGTGCCGCCAGTCAAGTGCCCGGTATGAGATACAGTATATTGCCAAGAAGCATTGTTAAAACAAAGAAATAATCTACCAAACACAAATTTCTTTACGTTTTGTATTAAGTTCACATGGTTTTCATACATTTTTATACCAACACTTTTCCAGTCTGAAATGTCCAAACATTTCAGTCTTTTTTTGTCCAAGTACAATTTYCTGTAAATTTGAAACAGCTCAACTCTGATGTTTATGCGAAGCAAAAGGTGTCATCATTCTTTCTGTCATCCMCAGTCCTTCTTGATAGATCGAGCAGGCAGAAAGAAGCTGATGGGCTATGGCTTACCTACTGATGGGTGTAACCATGTGTGTTCTTACAGTCACGCTGTCCTTGAAGGTAAAAACAGTGAGGCACTGCTCTCCTTCACCTCACATTCTCACAGAAAGTACATTTTAATTATTTCTTTCTTTCCACAGGATATGAATCCACAGATGCCGTACGTGAACGTCCCCCTGATCTTCACTGTCATTTGCATTTATGGACTTGGGCTTTGTGAGTTACAATGTTGGAGATAGTTAAGCACATCTATTTGAAAATTGCTGAAATATTTWAAACTTAATCATCTCTTCTAGCTGGAGTATCCGTGGTTCTCCGGTGCTGACCTTTTCGTCCAAGCCTGGCGTCCTTCTGCTTTCATGATCAGTGGATCCATCTTCTGGTTTTGCATTTGTTTGGTTGGAATGACGTTTGGATATATTGTGGTGAGACRTCAACAGAGCATCTATTTCTCATATGTTTCAGTATTTTTTTACGTTACAGGATCTGTTCATGAACTCAATCATTTTTTCCCCCTTGTCTCCACACAGGAGGCACTCGGACAGTTCTGCTTCCTGTTTTTCAGGATTTTCTGCTTTCTGAGTGGTGCTTCCACGCTTTATATTGTCCCAGAGACCAAAGGAAAAACTGTAATAGAGATTACAGAGGATTTTAACAAACTGAATTACAAGAATGGAAAAAGTGGCGTTGAAAATATTGAAGCTGCAACTAAATTGTAAGAAAAGATAACTTTGCTGTCCAGCACATTTACAAGAGATGGAAACTTTGATAACTGTTGAAGTTTGATTTGAGGCTGTGTAAAGAAGTGATCTTTTCATGTCTAAACGTTGGGAAATAATTTGCCAAGGAGCTTAGCATAATTTTCTACAGAATGGTTGCWTTTAGTGTTGTTTTGTTAAATTGTAAATGACTACTTTTAGTAAGGTTATGCTGAAAGGTAACATTAGTATCTTCCACAACACACGACAGTTTTTGTCGATTACAGTACAAWAATATTGATTTCATACAAAAAGCACTTTCCCATTGAACAACTGAAAACTGTTGCAGTTTTCTTTCTAATCCTTCCACACAACTCCAATGATAACAGTAAACCTACAGTACATGCCAACATGCTTCATGCAAATGTCCCTTTTCTATTTTGTTTTCCTGAATATTGTAAATTTCTCATTTCCCTAAACAGCACGATCAAAGCTGGATGGTATTTGTTATTAAAAATGATTAAAGTCTTATTATAAAAAAGCAACAAATGCAAATATTGCATTTTGTTTGAATGCACCTTTTGGTTGGGGGGTGGGGGTGTATGCAAAAGGACTTTCTATTTATTTATATCATGTAACATGTTACAATATCCTTCCTCTTAAAACTAACCCAGTGTTGCTTTGACTCATTCACACATGTCTGAGAAATCCTTGTATGTGGAGATGCCTAAATGCTTGCTGGTACGAAGCACCGCCTATTTATACAAAGCTCCGCCCTGGAGCTCAGCACCCAGCTGACATCCCATCCCCTGAAGCATTGTTGTGAAGATGTGCTGAAGTGGGAGTGTCTGAAACGGTAGGAGGTTCTTAAAGAGAACAAATTCAGGATGCTTAGATAGGCTATGATGCAAAATTGTTTGTTTTAGATGAAAAAAAAATAGTATAGGTCCTCTGGACGGGTTCTTCTTTAATGAAACATTTCGTCTCTCTTCCAAGAG